ATGGGTGACACGTATGACTGCCCGGTATATATGTCTGTACATAGTATGGCTGTCACGTATGACTGCCCGGTATATGTGTCTGTACATAGTATGGCTGACACGTATGACTGCCCAGTACATATGTCTGTACATAGTATGGCTAACACGTATTACTGACCGGTATATATGTCTGAAGATAGTATGGCTGTCACGTATAACTGCCCGGTACATATGTCTGTACATAGTAAGGCTGACACGTATGACTGCCCGGTATATATGTCTGTACAGAGTATGGCTGTCACGTATGACTGCCCGGTATATATGTCTATACATAGTATTTCTGACACGTATGACTGCCCGGTACATATGTCTGTACATAGTAGAATCTATAGTAAATTCACCAGTACATTTATATATGTCTGTACAAAGTATGGCTGACACGCATGACTGCCCGGTACATATGTCTGTACATAGTATGGCTGTCACGTATGACTGCCCGGTATATATGTCTGTACATAGTATGGCTGACACGTATGACTGCCCGGTACATATGTATGTACATAGTATGGCTGACACGTATGACTGCCCGGTACATATGTCTGTACATAGTATGGCTGACACGTATGTCTGCCCGGTACATACATTTATATATGTATGTACATAGTATGGCTGACACGTCTAACTGCCCGGTATATGTGTCTGTACATAGTATGGCTGACACGTATGACTGCCCGGTACATATGTCTGTACATAGTATGGGTGACACGTATGACTGCCCGGTACATATGTATGTACATAGTATGGCTGACACGTATGACTGCCCGGTATATATGTCTGTACATAGTATGGCTGTCACGTATGACTGCCCGGTATATGTCTGTACAGAGTATGGCTGTCACGTATGACTGCCCGGTATATATGTCTATACATAGTATTTCTGACACGTATGACTGCCCGGTACATATGTCTGTACATAGTATGGCTGATACGTATGACTGCCCGGTATATATGTATGTACATAGTATGGCTGACACGTATGACTGCCCGGTACATATGTCTGTATATAGTATGACTGACACGTATGTCTGCCCGGTACATACATTTATATATGTATGTACATAGTATGGCTGACACGTCTAACTGCCCGGTATATGTGTCTGTACATAGTATTTCTGACACGTATGACTGCCCGGTATATATGTCTGTACATAGTATGACTGTCACGTATGACTGCCCGGTACATATGTCTGTACATAGTATGGCTGTCACGTATGACTGCCCGGTATATATGTCTGTACATAGTATGGCTGACACGTATGACTGCCCGGTACATATGTCTGTACATAGTATGGCTGACACGTATGACTGCCCGGTATATATGTCTGTACATAGTATGGCTGACACGTATGACTGCCCGGTACATATGTCTGTACATAGTATGGCTGACACGTATGACTGCCCGGTACATATGTCTGTACATAGTATGGCTGACACGTATGACTGCCCGGTATATATGTCTGTACATAGTATTTCTGACACGTATGACTGCCCGGTATATATGTCTGTACATAGTATGACTGTCACGTATGACTGCCCGGTACATATGTCTGTACATAGTATGGCTGATACGTATGACTGCCCGGTATATATGTCTGTACATAGTATGGCTGACACGTATGACTGCCCGGTATATATGTCTGTACATAGTATGGCTGACACGTATGACTGCCCGGTACATATGTCTTTACATAGTATGGCTGTCACGTATGACTGCCCGGTATATATGTCTGTACATAGTATGACTGACACGTATGACTGCCCGGTACATATGTCTGTACATAGTATGGGTGACACGTATGACTGCCCGGTACATATATCTGTACATAGTATGGCTGACACGTATGACTGCCCGGTATATATGTCTGTACATAGTATGGCTGTCACGTATGACTGCCCGGTATATATGTCTGTACATAGTATTTCTGACACGTATGACTGCCCGGTACATATGTCTGTACATAGTATGGCTGACATGTATCTATTTATATCTACCCCTCATCCCTAGTGATATCTGGAGTGAATCAAATGCCTTGATACCTAATCGTCTCGACTGAAATCTAAACAACGTCATCTGTTTGGAAAATGAAAGTTGAAGAAGCACTTTACTTAAAACAACGTTTTATCAATATCATTTAAGAGATGAACCGACTCTGATTTTATAAATATCGACCAGATCCCTAAAAATTGTCTCTATGACCAATTGCATTTGGCAGGTCAGAAAGGATTACACAAGTGCGTTTCTTACATTAATATGTCCCTGTGGCCATTGAATTTGATCAATCTTCGTACCACTGGTACAT